GTTTATTTGGGGATATATATGCGGATAAAGGGAGAGATGGAGGTAGATGTGAAGTGGGTGATGGAGATAAAGAAAGTGATGAGGTAGAAGTGGAGACAGATGGAGATGAAAGAGGTAGAGGTACAGTGAAAGATGAAGGGAGAGTGATGGAGAGAGATGGGGAGATGGATGGACAAGGATGTTGAAAGAAATGAAGACAAAGGAAGAGAGATGAGGTAAAGGTAGAAAGAGACGGAGAGATGTGAGAGATGATAAATGGTGAGACAGAAGTAGAGGTGGACAGAGATGGATGAAGGGAGAGCGATGGAAGTGAAGATAGACATAAATGGAGATAAAAGTGAGAGGTAGCGGTAAGAGATGGAAATAAAAAGTGATTGAGATGTAGATAGATAGAGAGAGAGATGAAAAAAAGGAGGAGGGATATACAGAAATGAAGAACGATGGAGATTAATGTAGCAGTTGCCAGACGGACAGAGATGACAATGATGGGAATGGAGGTAGAGGTGTAGAGATGGATAGAGATGAAGAAAGAACCAGATGGAGGTGGAGTTGGAGATATACAAAGAAATGAAAGCTGGAAATGGCGGTATAGGTGGAGAGACAGATGGAGATGAAAGAGAGAGATGATGGAAGGCAGAAACATTAGTGGAAGTGAAGGTGAAACAGAAGTCAAAGTGCAGAGTTATAGAGATGAAGAATGAGATGATTGTGCAGACAGGGGTGGGGGGGGGAGCCATTATTGGCAGGCAAAGATGTCTCCGAGAGGAGAGAAAGAGTTGAAGCTTTTTTCCTCACCGCTAGGATATGCAGTAGCACTGCTCCACTTTTCCGCTCAGCGTTGGTGAAACAGTCCTCAGGAAATTCGTGTATAGCTGCAACACAAACACACACACGAACCTGCATTTTATAAAATTGATCATTTCGATTCTAAAATCTGATTGGCTGAGCCATGTTCTTAGAACAGGTTTGATCATCGACATACACATACGTGAGCACATAATAATTAAATTCTATTATCAATGTGCCAATCACATCAATAAACCCAGTACACTTCAGCTAATGTTCAGTTATCTTTACCGGTTCTATTCCATCTACCCATTTTCTTTACCGCTTATCCGACAGAGGGTCACGGGGAGCCTGGAGCCTGGAGCCCATCTCCGGGAACTCGGGGCACAAGGCGAGGGACACCCTGGAAGGGGGTGAGCCCATCACAGGGCACATTCGCACACACATTCACACACTACGGACAAATTGAAAATCAGCCTACAACGCATGTCTTTGGTCTGGGGAAGGAAACTGGAGTACCAGGAAGAAACCCCCAAGGCACGGGGGGGAGAACATCCATTCCTTAGCAACCAAAGTTTATGGTTAACAGACTGGAATGCAGGGCTCCTGATTGGCGCAACAGAAAAACGTTCACCCTAGAGACCACAAGTCCGATTCCTGACGATACCACGTCGCTGTTACAGCCATCCATAAAGTCTAGAGAACAAAACTGGCCGAGCTCTCTGGGTGGGAGGGATGGTCTACTCTCTCCCCCGTCAATCACAGTGACACTAGCCATTACATTGTCTGCATCTCTTACACATTAGTGTGTTAACTGTGGCTCCACCCACCCACACACACACACACACTGCCATGCAGCGTGCAGCGATCTACTCCTACTGTTCAGCATGACTGGGTATTGCAGCTTTTTCTGAAAGGTCAAACACAAGCAAAGCTCTCACACTCCCCTTTGATACGAATACAAAATGTAGCTGTACCAGTGCAGAACACGGTTCTTCTGCAGCTAGGGCCTAATGTTCTGCCGATCTGCGTGATTGGAAAAATTACACATTTGCGCCCTATTCATGAGACGAGAACTCTCCACAGCTTTCGGTCCATCATGGAATCTTGATATAAACACCTCCCTGCTATCAAATACGTCATTAAACACAGGAGGACACTGCAGGTTCAAAGGACAAGGAGAATCACGTCTGGCCTTTGATAGTTTACTAGAACAATGTTGGAAACTTAGATGAAATTCACTTCTTTAACACAAGTAGAACTCAAGGCTAGCAGTGACAACGAGAATGCCTCCGCCACCAACAGCTCTCCTTCTTTTTACTCATTTGTATGCCAGAAATTAACCTTAAAATAAATATATTCCAAACAAGCAGAAAAGCTATTGGAGAAAAACAATTTCAGAAATATCACCTTGTGGTGACCTTGACCCTCTAAAAAATCTCAAATCAGTTCATCTGCTAGCTACAACAATAATCCCATATAAATCCTACAAACATTCAACCACATGTTCTTGCGTTATCACGCTAATGACAATCTCGGACAATCGCACAGACAAAATGGGTGGGCAGACAGACGGAAGGAATGATGGACGGATAACCTGAAAACATACTTCCTCCTCCACCTGACAGCAATAGCACATCATTAACAGGAGAACCATTTTGGTACATATTGGTACACTGTCCTCTGATGCACTCTGATACAATTTATTATTTCCCAGTTAGTTCATGTTATGTAGTGGAGTGGACACTATTGGATGGGCTAATCACCCCTGCTGCCTGCACTACACAGTAATAAAATATACACTCTGGTCAATGCTGGGATCCATTTTTACTGGTTGAATAAAGTGACTTGTACAAATGACGGACAAACTTTTTGACTTTAGCAAAAAAACCAACAGAGATGCAGAAATAGTGATGAACCTGATCACAACTGAAGTGCAACAAAGTCAAAGAACATTGTTAATAGCATATCAAGGAATGCTGCAGCTTTCACACACATCATCAGGAGAGGATGAGGACCAGGTCTATGCAGAATCATCCCCTCCACAGTCTGTATTAATGCATCTGACTAAATAACTAGTCATACTTGAGAATTATATTACCTCAGCTGACCCAGTCAAGGTACGATCATGGACCTACACACACTTGACATGCTCATAATGAAGAGTAAAGCATTATAAACTTTGCATTTTTAGACTATATTATTATTATTATTAATAATAATAATATTAATATTATTAGGGTTTTCATCTAAAATGTGTAAGAATGTCTTGGCTTCCATCTCAAGTCAAGTGGCTTTTATCGTCAGTCATTTCAACCATATACAGCTGGTACAGTACACAGTTAAATGAAACAGCATTTCTCCAGGACCATGGTGTTACAGAAAATGCAACTCTAACCCAGGGGTGTCCAATCATATCCGGAAAGGGCCGGTGTCGGAGCAGGACCAAGCAGGAGCCATACCTGACTCCACCTGTTTCATCAGTTGATCTTGGCTTTCAGTAGACTCAGGTGTGGCTTCTGCTTGGTTGGAATGAAAACCTGCACCCACACTGGGCCCTTTCCGGACAAGATTGCCCACCCCTGCACTAACCACATGAGACGAGACAGAACTAAAAAAAAACCCACACATTGCATGTGATTTATGAACACTTAATGCCCTAGGTTGGGGGGTGTCAGCGATAGCGGCTTGGTTATATATTTTAAGACAGTACCCAATAGACTGCCTCTATAGACTCCTAAAAGCTTGATTTCAAAACGTGCTTTAAAATAAATGAATAAAATAAAGATTATTGCTGAACTACACAGTTATGACACATAAGATGGGAGCAGTAGGAGGGCGTCTTCGCTGACGTCTGTTCTAAGAATAGCAGCGTATAGATTAATGTCTCCAGCAGGTCAAGGTGACCCTCTACACCATTCTAGCCAACATCACACCTCACACTCATCATACACACCACCGCTGTGGGTTACCGCTGCTATCCCACACGTCAATGTGTCAGAGGAAAGGTTCTGTTCAAGACACACAAAATACCCTTCATCCACTCATTCATGCTTTAGTAACGGTTTTGTTCTCTTGGTCAGGATGGTAATGGATCCTGGGACAATCCCAGAAACAGTATTAGTGAGGTAGGTTTTCACACTGGATGGGACACCAGTCCATCAGACATACTACAATCCAGTAGCATGTTTGCTCATGTTCCAGAATAGTGTTTAACCCTCGTCAACTTCCGCTTCACATTTTATCTTCGCTGAAAACATGTTCAAATCTTAAGGGCCGTTCCATCACTCTATTGTCTACAGAATACTTAAATGATCATTAAGCGTCAACAAATTCGGAACTTATCCAGGAAATAATTCCACTTAAATAGCCTGTACAAATTGCCCCATAATAAAAGTAATTAGCAGCCATAATTGTTTAAACAGATTTTATTTTATTTTAGTGATGAAGTGATGCAGCATTTCAGTTAACGAAAGCGGAATCATTTCAGCCAATGAAAATTAAGAACTGTAGTCGATTTTTCTCAAATTTCACCTAATGTGTCCAAAATGCAAATGCATTAGTATTCCATGTTTTAATTCTTTCTGAAATTGAATACTGATCACTGGGGCGAGTTGTCCACTAATCGTAGGAGGTTCGATTCACGGCCAGCATGTCTCCATATGTCGAAGTGTTCTTGGGCAAGACACTGAACCCCAAGTTGCTCCCGATGGCAAATTAGCGCCTGCTACCATTGGTGTGTGTGTGTGTGTGTGTGTGTGTGTGTGTGAGAATGGGTGCATGAGACACAGTGTAAAGGGCTTTGCAGAACTGCTAAAAGGTTAAAAAAGGCACTATATAAGTGCAGACCATTTACTTCAGAAACGCACCTTGCCATGAGTAGCTACCCAAAGCCTTTCTATTTCTTAGATGAAAGTCTGGTGGCTGAATCCATCAAGGTAATGACCATGATTCCAACAATGCAGCTGTTTCAGAGGGAAGTAGTACATTTAATACAACTGCATGCGTCTGATAAAAGTCAATGATTTCTGCCTGACAAAAACAGCTTTTGCAAGGTACACAAAAATATTCACTCAAGTTTTTACCTGCAGGTCATAACTTTACACTTATATTTTACTGGATTTGGCAGACACCTACAGTATATACAAAGCAACATATAATTGAGCTGAGCAAATGAAGATTAATGGTCTTGCTCAAGTGTCCAGCAGTGGCACTGTGGCATGCAAGGATTTTAACTCAACCGTTTGATCAGCAGTCCAAAGCCTTAACCGCTGAGCCATCACCACCTCTTCAGGTTCTTCACTAGCCTCTAACCCAGTTCATTCCCCTTTTCCCACTGAGTCACTTTACATGCCCATTTCACTTCTGTTGGCACTGAATACGTCACCTTACACCCCCCTTAGCAGCAAGCAGTAATTCCTATGTTTACTAAATCATATAGATTTTGAGTACAATGTTGTTGACAACAAAATGAACACTGGAATTATATAAACATGTAACATGAGCATCAGTCAAACATGCAGACTTCATGCACACAAACAGTACACTTCAAAATGAAATGCAAGTCATCATATTTAAACTAAAGCAGAATCCTGGAAATTCTCAAATTTAGAAATCCCAGCCGGACGCTTTTTTGTCCGGGAAAAAGAGAACATATGATCACCCTATTTTATCACCAAACCCTGATATGTTTCCACAACTTTACCCTGGGCTTGTTTTGACATCTCCTTTGTTATCATGATGCTGTTTATTTATTTAGGCAACTCTGAGGTCGGTTAGAGGTGATGTAAGGTGATGGATTTATAATGAGATCTTGTGACACTTGCACACACATGAATATCTTCCTGTACATTAGAAATATTAACAAAAATTAAACAGAATTACATCCATTACATACATGGATAACCTAGACATGTCCTAGCATGTTACTACTATAACTCTAGCAAGTTCTACCATTTTTAATTGTGTGTCATCACTGAGTGGTTAAAGTGGAATTGTTCTGTAAAACAGAAACAATTACATTTTGTTTACGTATAAACACAGTGATTTTGTTTAATATAACACTGATAACTTTACCTGATCTCAATAGTTAATAGCCTACAGCAATGTGATGTTAGTGGGGATGTCACGAGAACCGATACTTCCGTACCAAGTCGGTACCAATATTCGTAAAACTTGACGGTACTTGTTTTTCCTGGAGTAGCGTAGGTACCGTTTGTTATGACGGTACCAAGGTTGCAATTCTTCCGGACCTGATGGCGGCAGCAAATACGTGCAAGTGTTTTAGTCGGTCCACAAGTGGTGAAGAAGAAGAACGCCTACAAGCACACAGGAAAAACTACAGAAGAGGTAAGGTGGTAAGGAATATGGAAATACTTCGCAATCGAGGCGGATGACAACAAACACATAATTGATGCTGTGAAGCCGCTGTGTAACCGATGCTATCGTTTATTTCAAACAAAGCGACGAAAAACCTGGAATTTGGCGAAGCACCTGAATTACGGTCCTATATTATGTTTGTTTGAGGCAGCTGGCATTGTGGCTGTGAAACCAGCTAACGTTATGCTCCATGTAATGTTTGCGATAGAGAGTTATTTGTTAACGACGCTAACATATTGCAGTGTTATAAACTACCTCCTAATGTTCCACCATGCATCGCCATTCAGCCCGTGTCCTGTCAGCTAAATGTAGTAATGTCACTAATAATTATTCACATGTTCATGCTTTTAATAAATCTTTTTATCCTGCCACCAGATCAGTGAATTTAAACTAATGCTTGCATTCAGAGTATAAGGGGTGTGTGCACGTGCGCGTTTTGGAGTGCTGCATCTCCACTGTAGCCTCCACTCATATGTCATACAGTGTTTGATAACTAAAATATATCTCTCTCTTTGCCAGCATCACCCAGAGGAGGATATCCTCCAGGAGAGTTTTTAATTTAATTTATTTTATTACCACACCGTGGTATCGACTTTGGTATCGAGTATCATGTACTTTGGGTGGTATCGGTACCAACTACTTGATTTTTGGTATCGTGACATCCCTAGGTAATCAGCATTTTCCCCAAAAGCAGGCAAACAAAATGTGTTTGGAACCCTTGCAGTGCTGCTTAAGCCAAACATAATCAAAGGAGTTTCAAAATTCCTGAAAACAGAGAGCATCACACACTTAATGTCTTTTCGTTTTCATCACAGTATTGCACAGTACATGAATTACAACGGACAGGAAATCACTGGCATCCGACTGGAGATAACACACGGCCTAGTGCAGGCAAAACTTAAGATCAAATCAAAACAATCTAATTGTCCCAGATGGCTCTGTGAATCTCAGCCATGCAGGACGGGCTAGAGTATTCATTTGGACTATACAAATTGGTGTGAATTGTGGGATTTAGTGAGCACACTGGATATTTTACATGTTTACACTTCCAGAAATGGCAAACTGTCTGTCCCCTGAATAAACAATCCCAGATCACAATCCCAAGAGTCTCTGCCCACTTCACATTACATAGAGATGAGTGATGAGTGAGATTTTCCCATCAGTCCTGGTCATTTGCTTGTGGTTTGCAAGAAACTGTTCACGTCTCTTTCTTCCACTTGGTCCTTCAACTAATCTATCCTTCCTGTCTTCTGCTTCCACATCCAGTGGACTGAATACAAAGCATGTGCACCAACCAAAGCCAATACTGCAGAGAGAGAGATTCCGTGACAGGTGCCAAAATGCACATCTAATATTATATTATATATATATATATATATATATACACACACACACACTGTGCTATAGTCTGTACATTGGAAAGACATGCACACTTATTCAGGGAATGGTATCCATGATTCAGGTAATCAGGGTTGTTAAATGGCTTGAAGCAAACCCCAAACCCATTAAGCAAAAGCACGTTAAAACCAGTAATACGCCCATCTGCAGGAAACATTTTCCAGAACATTTAGAGCAAGTATTATGTATACAGCTGATCAATTTACAGAACCACTAATTTCTACAGAGTTTGCAAATCAAGTAACCAATCAATAGGGGGTGTAGGACAATGTATGGGAAGCAGATTAGGTGGTGAAACGAGTGACCCAGAATGGGTGAGAATGCTCAGGATTTGGTAAGGCGACACTGGGGACCCTGGATCGGGGGACAATTCAAGGGACACTGCAACTGTTGGTATGAAGAGCCACATTCATTCTGTTGGCACATTTGTCATTTGAGGACATTCAAAACTTACAAATAATGTAAATGCAGCTGATGACTTATAGGACCAACCGAACAAGTCAATCCCAATAGCATTAATCAAACAATCATGTCAGATCTCATACAATGATTTAATGCCAGATTTAATAAATGCGTGGTTTTTATTGCTCCCTTTGCAGAAATCCCTCCTATCTCTCCCATCACTCCTATCTCAGGACCGGTTCTTGATCAAGATAAACACTGCAAAACTCTCAGCTCCTTAATGAATCTTGATGTCTTCTATTTGTGTGTCTGTGAACCTTGTGGGCATTCAGTCAAGAAGCTGACAGTCACCAGAACATGGTGATGGACTTTAAAACAAAACCACTTACATTGTATTTCACTTGAGCTACTGAACTGCAATGTTGCCTACAGTCTCAGTTTGTGAATTCTTCACAAGGAACAGTTTGGCTTAAAAATATATTTTTTTTTCATGAAAATTATAAAAATAAATAAATAAATAAATAAATAAAAAAGAAAGAAAGAAAAGAAACAATATTCCCCTTACCCCAAATGTACTGGATCTATGCTGGACCAGCTAACCAAGTAAGCACATTACCAGTTTGGCCTTATGGAAACTGCATGTCTAAATCACTCCAAGTTATAAAAGCATAATTTGATTCCATTCCGATTCATAAATTGGCAGAAGTATTAAAATTAAACACGCCAACCAAATTGAAACTGATTTGAATCATTTCAGACAGACAATTTAGCCTTCAATCTTGGCGCCATTCCCCTGTCCAAGAGGCTTGCACACTGTGAGACCAAACTATATCCTGAAAAACAAAGTCATTATAGTCACGTACATCACTGTTTTCAGCTCTGAGACTTTCTTTCGTCCATTGTGGAGCGTCTATGAAACAAGTTAGTTTCTATCATCACTTTTATAGCCTGGAGTCATTCTCCCACCACAGTCTCCTTTTTCTCGCTCTTTCCAAGTTAATAAGACAGTTATGGTCAAAATGCACAAAGTTCATGGTGGAAAATGTACTGACCATTACAAAGCACTGACATTGGGAGACTAATTTCAGAATATGTGGAGGGTCTAACTTACAAGTACCTGTGTATGAGCGGTTACTATAGACGTAATAAAAGTATTAGAACAAGTGCAGTAATATAAAATCTGTGACACTGTAATAAGTCAATATCACAAATGCATATAATTTCATGTTTATAATATATATACACTAAGCAGTGGGTGTAGCTGCTGACATCTGGTTCACACAGAAGTGTCACCATCAGAGCAGAGGAATGGTCTGTCGTGTGGGTGGGTGTGTTAGTGTGTGGGTTGGTGGGAGGGGGGGGCACATGAGTGTGTAATCAACTGGGCAAAGAGGCAAATGTGCCAGATTAGAGGCCTGCAGGGGCAGCGTTCTGATAAACGCAACACCACACAGAGACATGGGGAGAGTGAGAGCGACAGAGCAAGTTAGAGAGAGAGGCTACACATTATATAATGGGTGTTTTGCTTTTCTGCACTAATGGAGAAAAGCTGATGAGACTGGAACATCAAAGTCGAGGGAAGTTGTGATGCAAATACAAATGGAGGGCGGCAACATTCATAATTGTATCCATCTGAGGTGAATTGACTTACACAAAGCTTTGTACGGAATGTTTCTGCAGATATTTTATATCTAAAATTTTCCAGTTTCAGTTGAAGGAGTCTACTCTTTTGCTCAACGCTAAAATTGTTGGCATGCTGATTAAAAAGAAGTGTTATAACAACGTGACATGATCCATGCTACACACTTTGGTACTCCGAACTCGGAAAAACCTGACCTCTGATACAGAAAAGTGTGATGGAACGGTCCATCAGCTCAGTATTCCCAGTCAAGAACTCCGGCAACATCCACCATCCGACATAAATACACCTGATATCACGACAACATGGCATGGAATAGAGATTGTTGCTCTACATAAGGAGAGCCTAGGTTATAAGAAGATTGCCAAGACCCTGACACTGAGCTGCAGCATGGTGACCAAGACAGGACAGGTTCCACTCAGAACAGGCCTCGTCATGGTCGACCAAAGAAGTTGAGTGCACGTGCAC